CAACATATAAAACTTCCAGAATGGAGTTATTGTTTGTTACTTACCGTCAAAATGGGAAAGATCCATCACTTTTGTAATAAAATATGTTGTCAGACGTCCATGTTTATAAACAGTCGCATGGCTACCATCGGAAAATATTGTGATTTCCGGTATATTCCCGCGAAAATGTTGTGATATTCCGTGATATTCCGCCATATTCCGTGATATTCCGCCATATTCCGTGATATTCCGCCATATTCCGGCATTCCGGGTTTTCACAACGCCCAATACTTTTCAGTTTTGATATTTTCTGCTGAGGGATGACTGGTGAGAAATAGATATAACGATGGACTAATTGTTAAAAAGCTTGCAAAATGTATTTCAGTAATTTTACCAATTTTCTCAAACGTACATGCATTCGGTATAGATCAGTATATTTTTGTCCATGACGAACGTTTGCTTCTCGAGTTCATTTCAACTCGTTCCAGCTAATACATTTTGATATCAAAATTTTGATCAAAATAATTTAAGTTACGAGTTATTAATAATCCTCGATATTATTTATTACAACATAATGTCAATACCTAATGCGTCATCAAAGATAATTAAAGTGTTTGGCGTTACAGCAGATATAGAATTCATTTAATAAACTGATAGTTTAAAAGAAGACTCCTAGTTGAAGGTTAAGATCAGTTATATACTATGGCTATGCCATGAAGAATTTTTAATAGTTTTCATAGTGGTCTGAAACCGTACTAATTTTGCTAGTGCAACTTCGTCTACATCACTGCAGCTGTTTCAAAGGTACTAAATAAACGTTCAGTCAAAAAGGTGACTTCTGAAGTTCTGACAAAGTTTCAATTTTTAATTAGAAATCAAAATCAACATGGCCTCGTTAGTATCAAACATTACATTCATTTCAGCAAGTACTGGAAACGTTTCAGGAAAAAATGAAGACAACTACGACAGCGTTATGAAAGCCATATTTTGTATCATCAGTATAGCATCCATTGTACCAAATGTGTTATTTCTTATTGCAATGTGGTTGAACTATAGCAGAATGAGGGGTGGATATCATAATATTCTTCTTTATAATATGATGATATCTGATACGCTTGCAGGTAATGCTTATTTTATGATATTTATCAAATATATAATTTCTAGCATTGTTTATATCATGACAAAGTGGAAAAACCTGGGGAAAACTAAGCTTTTTCTACGCTGTGACTGGAAGTGTCTACATATGCAGATGCAAGATACCGATCAACTTACCGCCGCCCCCCTTTTGACATTTTGCTGTCATGTCTATACAAATAGGTGTCAAATCCAGCTTAATTTGGGGCTCAGCTGAACAGGCAAAATCTCCAGGTTCAAAACAGTTCACATTCAGGGCCCGCCAGGAGGTTGCGCGGAAACCGGATCACAAATAACCTTTTCCCTCGATCATAAAAATTTTCGAGAAATTGCGAGGGTGGAGGAGGGGGGGGGGGG